GCCCTTACAATCCCCTTTGCGAAAGTTACCCAGGGGGGGGGGGGGCGTTTTCCTCCAGGTAAAAGGGGGGGGGGGGGGGGGGGTGGTCACGCGTGCCGTGTTCTTTGGACCACAGGTCTGTACAACCTTTGAGGCACGCCGGCTTTCCGACGAATGTGTGTGTGTGTGTGTTTGGGTCGGCAGGCACAAGGCCGTTAGTCCGACTAAGAAAAGCAGCAGTCGCACGTCTTACGCACGAATTTTGGTTGGTATCCGTACATCCGTACCATAAGTTTAGTGCCAGTGCTCGTTCAAGGGCTCGAAGTGAAGGTCCCGTCTTACCTCCCTCCCGTACCCTGGGCTACATACAACCAACAAGCAGGCGCCGCGTTTGGCGGAGGACTGGAGCTGATGCTAGCGTGCGACGTGCGTGTTGTCGGCGCGAAGGCCACGATGGGTTTGACGGAGACAAGTCTCGGGATCATTCCGGGGGCTGGAGGCACACAGCGCCTTCCTAGACTCATCGGCGAGTACTTCCTTCTTTCAGTTTTTTGTTTTGGAAATTCAATATACACGTACTTGTATGTCTTCCCCGGAACAACGAATTACGAAAAACAATCAGACACGCACACACATACGCAGTTGATTCACCACCGGGGCGAAACGAATCATCCGTCAACCCTCATTGTTCCAAGACTTTTTTAACACATGCGCGAACGGGGAGTCTTGCTTTCTTTCATGTTGTGCATATTTTTTGAAAACAAACCCTCAAAATACACCACGGTGTGGATTGTAGACCAATGGTCTAACGAGGTTTATCCGGTAAATGGCAAACGATTTGCCTCTGACGTGAAGGTCGCGTGGTTGTTTCGGAAACTTGGCGGCGACCGTGCACATGGTACGATATGCACTATGCGTACGGTACGCTGAGCAACAGGTATCAGTCCCGCCGAATCTCTACCGTGCCAATCGCACAAACCGTTCGTACCACACTTACCACCATTCCATGCCACGACACGCGTACGAGTGGTGTATATCGTATACGTGCGTGACCCCGGGTGGTACTGTACGTCAAGCACGCTGAATAATCACCGAAAGACTTGTAGACTGGACTGGCACCAGCGTACATGCAGATGGGATGTACACACCACGCCCTGGACCGACGTTCGAAGGTCGAAGGTCGACTATTATACTCCACAGCGAGGAGGATGCCGACATCAAATGATACGTACGCTTTCGGAAAGCTCTATTCGAGGCGATTCCAACGCCTACCGCCATTTCCCGCCTCTTTTTCTAGCGTAGGGTAACCGAGCTTCGAAAAGTCGGTCCACGGGGAGTGGTATCTTGTGTAGACTGGCACCAGCGTAGATGGCACGAACACACGCGGGGGGAGGGGTATACAGCAGTATTTATTTTCCACGGCACACGCGATCTGTCCGTGGGAATCAGGCGCTGCCATCCTCTCCCACCCCGAAAGTAATACCCGCTCCGGAAACAACGGTGTCATGGTATTTGGGCCCTTATTTGGCTAAGGTACCGTTTGGGCGGGTATGTCTTGCAGAGATATGCACGTACAACGAACACCTGCGTAGGATCTTCATATTCCAAGCGGTGGAGCAACGGTTGTAGCAGCAGCAAGCGATGTACAGCGTTCCCTCTTTGCTCGGTGTTGACGCTCCACACCGCAATCTCTTATCGTCGCCCCGGCAACAGGTGCGTCCAAAGCCAAGGAGCTTATCTTCACGGCCAGAAGGGTGGACGCTGTGCGCGCGCTTGAGCTGGGCATGGTGAACGCGGTCTTCGACGCCGGTCAGGCGGAGAAGGGGGCGTTGGCGATGGCCGGGGACATGGCGAGAAGAGGGCCGCTTGCCGTGCGAGCGGCGAAGCTTGCTATTGACGAGGGTTTGGCGATGGTGAGCAAGGGTCACGTACGGTTCTGAGTTTGACGGAACCGTTGGCATTTACGTGTATGCCCATGAGGTGCAGCGTGTACCCCGTAGGTTGAATGAGATACAGTACTCCAAGAAGACGAGGATGGAAACAATCGAGCAGTGCGTTGTCGCAATGCCCTCGACGAGATGGACGGGTCCAACGCCACTGCTTTCGGAAGACTCACTGCTGTCTTGGTGCAGAGTAGCCTAGCTCTGCGCATTGATCTAGGGGGTGTCTTGAGTCTTGAACAACCTACGGCGGCGTACAGGCCGACTATCAACAGAAACACTTTTTACAATGGAAAGTCAGCTGTGTGGAGGATACCCAGATCCCTGGTGGAAGTGACGCCAACATCATGTCGGGGACGCTCACCCCAATGTGAAAGGTATTGGCTGTGGACATACTGTAGACGTGATCGGTCCATGTGTGACGGTATTGGTGCTGTATGTATGAGGTAGACGGGTACCATCCGTGGGACGATACTTTGCTGTTGTTTGCGAAGCATCTCCGTAGATTGTAAGAGCCAAGAGAGGGTAGTTAGAGCTCCCTCTCTCTGCCACTCTTCCAGCGATCAACAAGCAAAGCTATCTCAACAAGCAAAATGACTCCCAACAACGGCTGCTCCCCTACCATAGTCGGGTCCGTCCCTTATCGCATTCACATTACACCAACTGGTGTATTGAGTTTCCCTAAGGTCTTGTATCACCCCCCCCGCGATAATTGGGGATAGATGGTGGGCACAAGAGGCCCTAGAGGACGGGGATAAGATGTGCAAGAAATTTTTATGGAGTTTGTGGCAGAAACGTAAAGAGCTCCCAAATGTTGGTGGTGTCTCGAGTAGGTGTAGGAACGGTGCTCCGTCTCGAAAGGGACGCGTGGTCAATGGTCAAATGACTACGGCAAGCAACAAATGAGTACCCCCCCCCCCCCCAA